GCAGAACTCCTGGCTGGGATCCCATCACGATTTCATTCAGGTATGCCAGACTGGCTACCCCAAGGTATCCATTTAGCCCATTTATTTCTGGAACATGGGAATTTGTATGATATAATTTTCTAGCCAAATGGTATATGTGAATAGATCTGGGTACTATAAACACTGCAGCACAAACAAATATATCAAAATCCACTGAACAATACAGATGGGGAATGGGAGAGGAACACTGAAACTAAAGCTACATTTCTAGGGGAAACAGATGAGGCCAAGTCACTCTGCTCACAGATGACATAGATACTCCTCATTCCATGTCACAATAACTTGTTACATAAACAGGATGGCTGTTTTTACCCAAATAGGAATATTATTCTCATCCATAAGATCACACCTGAGCATTTGCCTTTGCTGTCCCCAGTTGCCAGAAAATCAAAGCTGACAACTCCTCTTCTACCAGACTTGGTCTCTACAGCAGTGGCTCAGCTATACTGCAAATTCTCCCAAACACCCACTCGTGCATTCAGATTTTAAAAAACAAAATAGACTAAGAATATGTTTTCAAACTTTGACCCCCTAGTTATTTGTTCCCCACAGACTCCTCTGTAGTCAAAGCCACCAGTACACTCACCTATCTGAAATATACTTCATGAACCTCTGAGAAGCAGTGTACAACTGGCCACAGTTAAAAAGCTAGATGGTGAAAAACAAAGCAAGAGTTGAAATTGCAGGGGGGAACTGCTGCTTCCCTGAGATGCAGAAGTTGAGACAACTATCCAGAGGACAGGCAAGGCCTTGCAAAACACATAAACACATGTAGCTTTGTTCATTTACAATGAAACCTGAAGACTGAGACACATGAAGGCAAATGCAGACTGGGGTTGTTCTGCATCAGACATTCCTCTCCTAAGAATATATACTGCTTAATTAGCCTGTAAGAATTTGACCCAAAACCTATGCATTTGGCTGTCACTTTTACATATATTAACACCTCCCAGTGCAGAACATGAGTCTTCATCTTTCTTTTGAAAAGTATTTCAGATTATGTATTTTCAGTTCTGTGAAGTTTACATAAGGATTGTCCTGCTTTCTACAATGTTTTTATCTCTAAACATCACACAAGGATCTTTCTGCTTATTCAACATATTCCAAAACTCGGGTTTTGCCATAAAGAAAATCAAAGGCAATGATGAAAAAATACCTCCTCAATACTGGAAGATAAAATGTCCTCACCTATGTAAGGAGATCAGAGAATCCAGGCTGTAACCCGTTCCCAGGTTTTTTACTAATTTCTGACTTCTGCAAGGCATGCTACCTGACTTTAGTGTTCTTACCTCATCACAGCCTAATTGGGATTGGCTGCTTTGGAGACAAGGAGGGAAAGAAGGAATGTGTTCATCACCACTAAAAGCTAATACTTTGAGGAGTCAATTTATAAACTAAATTTTACTCAGTTAGGAAAGAGTTTTGAAAGGGCAATGTGGAAAGCACCCATGCTTTTAAGCTGCCAAGACGCCATTTGGGAGCCACAGAGGCCCTTGTTCCACTCCCGAGCAGCCTCCATGCAGGCCATGGGACTTTGCAAAAGGGTGATGGCCAAATGACAAGGGTGGGCAGACACTGGCACAGCTCTCTCTTCCTTGGTAAACATAAGCAGGCTGAGCTATGCTGCCTCCAGCTAGGACCTAGAAAGTAGTGTGCTTGAAGCTAGAAAGACCAGCAAAGGATTGGACTTCTGCTACTTGGTGATCTGGGTGACAGGCAAGGTGTGTTGCACAGCAGAAATGCATGCAGCTGCCACATAGCAGCAGCAGGCCATTCCAAAAAAGTTTTGGGCTAGCTCATCTAACTCCTCTTCCAAACAACTGAGAAGAAGGAACAACACAATTTTATTTGCCTAAATGCTTTTCAAGTGCAGGAGTATGTACATGCATGCATTGCATGTGTTCTTAATCCCTTGAAAGACCAGGATGGAATAACCCCAATTAACACTATGAAAATACAAAGTAAGAGTTGCTAAATTAGGAGCCAGACCAAATAAGAACTACCCACCAAATGGCAGCAGAGATACTGAATTTAATACTAAGACATTTTGTCACTTGTCTTCAAATAGTACAGACATAAATCAGATTCCAGCTATTACACACAAAAGACCTATCACAGAACTCTAATTCTTGCTATGCTTCCCTACCTAAGCACAAGTTACTGGTAACCCCTCTATCTAGATAGCTCTATCATGAATTTTAACTCTGTAGTGGCAAGCAGGTAAAAGAACAGGCAAATACTTAGTTGGCATCTCCGTTTTAAGTAGACAGAGAACCACAGACTTTATGAATGGTGTCACGAGTTGTATATACTTAAATTAACCTTCTCCACTGCCCTTCTGTCTTCAGCCATAGTACATTTACTGCAGCACATGTGATCTGTCCATCTGTCAAGTAAAGCAGTGCACCATTCTTGTTGGCTTCAGTTTTAATACTAGAATCATACAGATATTATAGGATGATACAATCACAAAAATACAATAAAGGATTAGAGATGTGAGTTAACATCATTAACACTGCATGAGTAACACATCAAATCCAAACAAATCTGAAGGTAAAAGCGAAGAGGTTTTGAAATGCCAGAAGAAATCGTTTCTACTCTAAGGAGCACGAGCAGTTCAGAATATATTTTTCAACAGATTGAAAGCAGGGTGGTAGAATGGAGCTTCCAAAGCAGTACTCTGTTCACAGCATCCCACTCCAAAGATCAAAAACCATTACACTACTAATTGAGGTGACACTCAAAGACTTCAAATAATGAGTGTTTAATTCACAGTCTGAATGACAGCTCAAGGAAGCAAATAATTATCACAGTCATTGAACAGAGATATAAAGACATTGTTAACTAGAAATGTCATGGCTATCAACTTTCATTTCATATTATTTCAGTATTTCAAAGTTACAGCGTTTAAGGAATGAAAGTATAGTACTAACTTGGCATGAGAATTTTCCTATAAATGCAACAACTCATGCATATGATGCTGACTTAAAGGACATAGATGTTGAAACACTTTCTGAAGACACTGTAATAAATCTCACATAGTGCAACAGGTTAGTAAGTATCATATGATACAGTAAATATAATCTGCAAATCTTTAGAGAGAAAAAAAAACGTGCAAATGACAGGAAATCATTTCAGAAAACACAACCCAAGATGACTATCTCCACAAATCCTCAAATTGTGATGTTGTGGCAAGGAGTTATTTTAGATTTCTCAGAAGCAGACAGTCCAGAGTTCAAAGTGCAACATACCTCCTAGAAATGAGAAATAATGCTCTCTCCCAAAACTGCAGTCATGCAAACAAAAAACACTGGAGGAGTCTGTTAGCCAGAAAAGGTCAGGGCTGTTGGCAATTTGCCCAATACCATTACAAAAGCAGAGCTTTTAGTACACTTTTTTCGGTAATAGCATAGACTTTTTGGAATACTATTTACTCTCTTAACTACACATACATATTTAAACCCAAAACTGCTGATTACCAAGCACTTAGATGAATGTGGAAACTAAAGAGCCAGCTGCCACCACCACACACTTTCACGCTTTTGGTTTACACAGCTCCCCATTGCAGCAAGTTTTGCCAAAACTCAAGAGAAACAAAGTCATCTCAACCTGCCATACTTCACCACAATGTTTTAACAACTGTATGCAGGAATATTCTATCTTTAAAAAATGAAAGAGATGAAGAGAATTGGGTTAAGTCCTGTGAGGCTTAAGGAGTTCCAAATGCTACATTATTTTCCAAAGCCATTCTGTGAAGCTGAACCCTCACTCCCATATTAACCCAATTTTCATGATGCTGGAAGATCTGCTAGAAACACTCTCTTCCGTATTTTCATGACAACTTCACAGCTCTACTCTTTGAGCTACTCTCATTCTAATTGAAACAGCTCTTATTTCTATGACAATTGGAAAAATACAGAAAATTCTTCATGTGCTATTTTCAAGTCAAGTCAGTAAGAGATGTATTTGCCTCTATGAGGTTTCTTCCTTCCTTGATAATTTTTAGTAGAAATTGCAGAGGGAAATCAAACTCTTCAACCCTTCCCTTGTCACTCCCGTATGCTTAAAAATAATAATAGGATATAATAATAATAATAGTAATACTAAAATTGAAATAGCCAATGTGTTAAATCAGCATACCTACACATCTGTAACAATCAGCAGGAAGCACAGTGGGAACAAGCACAGACCAGCTTAGGAGAATCTTCATAGTACGACTGCACAGCCATTCCTTCAGTATTTCTGATTTAACAAATATACAGTTTGGAGTTTTCTAAACCCAAACTACATAGTTTATGTATTATAGATCATAAAACCATGTTTACATTTAATCCATACTGCTTATATTAAAAGCAGAAGGTTGGGATGCTGCTGTTAAGAAATCGTGAAAAGTCATAAATTAGTATAGAAAACACAAATTTTATCAAGAGATCCAGAACACTGGCTATATGTGCATTATCTCAACATCTTCCATTAAGTTATCCATTTATACAGTTCGTTGCTTATACAAAAATTTTTAAAATATTTATCGCTATTTTAAAATGGTAAACACTAAAAAACTTTCTAGAACTGCTTGAATATGGAAATGCTACTTGACAGTTGGTGTATGCGTATTTTAAAGAACAGAATTGACTGTACATAAACTTACAGCTCTTTACAAATTGAGTTGAAAGTATACATCCATTTAGTAGAACAGAAAATAAGAACATTATAAACCACTATGACCACTATGATAGCAACACTACGGTAATGTAAGAAGTTATTTTGTGGGGAGTTTTTTACAGTGTCAAGTATGTTATTTTTGTACTTCCAGCATTACATCCTTCATACTTTAGCCCATCAACAGAATATGTACAGCACATTGATTCAGGGAATAAGGCAATCAGCAGAAAAAGAAACAAAAAACTTCTCCACAATTGTTTCAACAGAGAGAGTTAAAACAGATGGATTAACAAGTTTTAAAGATTTTTAAAATTTATTATCATCATTATTATTAAATAAAGACTACAGACAGTCATGTTCCTCCAATACCTCCCCACCTCATAAATCTTCCAAGCTTCACAAAAGAGTTCTGAACACATTATTTGGAAACATTGACGAGAAACATTTTGTCGCACTGCTCCACGTCTATCTGGAATTTTACTCACATAAAAGACCAACAGGAGTTTTAAGTCATCTTTCTTTGGTACAGTAATGCACATTCAGACTTGTTTAGTACCAGTTTGCTCCTCCTCTAGCAGTTGAAAATTGGCCACACCAGGGCAATCTGGCTGAGTTTTCATAAACTAGAGGCCAGAATTAAAGCAAGTAGTAGTCAGACATCCTGCCTCTGCCACAGGACAATTATCTGGTGGCCTACTAAGTGTGCCTTCTGCATCAAAAGAGAGCTTAAGTGTAACAAATATTTTTAGGCCTTGAGTTATTGTCCCAAAAGCTACTAAATAGCTACAAACTCACCATATAAGTAACCATGTAAAACATAAATACTTGTCCAAATTATACAGTTGTTACCATTATAGATGATCAACTGCTGTAATATGCACTAGATTTTTTCTTTAGTATCCCCTATACAGTAACAAACATTTAGGAGAAATGTGCATTATGCATTTATTGGATAATAGTTGAGGGATGCACTGCTGACTCTGTCTTGCTTGGTGAAAAGTATTCTCAGCTTGCATTCAGGAAGAGGAGAGCAATCAAGGCCATTGGTAGCTTCACACCTTGCAACGTTTTCTGCACTTTATTATCTATGAGTTAAGGCACATCATTTGTAATGTGGCTATTTCCATAGGCTTGATCATTGTATCTTAAGGTTTAACAAAGTATGAATCATACCATCTTTGGCTTTTTTTCTTTGCTTCATAGAAAACGTATCCCTACCTCAAGCAACCAAAACATAAGAAATTTGGCAATGCTTCAGAGCACAGAGCTAGTTAAGTCCCAGCCAATGACCACCAACACTAAAAGAATTATGTATTTAGAGCTTTTCCACTTTGTTCCTCACTCAATTTGCTTCAAATATAGGTTTGAAAAGAAAAAAAAATTGCACATTTGGTAACAATGGCGAATTAAAATCTTGCCAAAAGAATATAACACAAATAAATACTTGTGAGAGGAAAATTTAAATTCTGTCATCTAAGTAGGCTACCTAAGGAGACCATAAGAGTATGAGAAAGCAAGTTTGAAGTAAGCACTGATCAGACACAGACACTTGCAAAACATAACTTTTCTGGAGAAGAGTAAGCACAGTGCTTCAAAATCTTCTTCAGGTAGTAGAATAGTTTTGAGAGGCTCTGAAGTAGTTGAAGACATTTTAAAAGTTCATAATTAATAACATTTCAGTGTCCCAGTGTGAGCAAAATGGAAAACCAATACACCTAAGATCACTGCAAGGAATACTTTTATAGTCATCCATCTATTACATACTCCAGTGTCAGAGATTAGCTCAACTCCCTCCAGAACAGATTTTTCCTTCTGAAAAAATATCTGTTTAGAGCTGGATATGCTGATTCTCACTGATACAAATGGATGCACTATTACAGGATCACCTTGCACCACACACAACCGTGAGAACAACAGCCTCCTCTTGATGCTCTGTGAATAAGCCAGTCTCTTAAATTATGCTGCTAACCAAATAGTCTACAAGCATTCTCTCAATAGTTTATGTTGTAACCTTCCCAAAAATTCACATCTCAGAACCGTACAGTTCCATTATTTTAATTGATTAAATATAGATTAGCAGTGCTAGTGTAAGAAAGATTGAATGGCATCAAAATCATTCAAATTAAAACAAGAAAAAAAAAGTGTTGCAATGCACTTCAGCCAAACCATCACAAATGATATGTTATATAAATACAGACACGAGGTAGCTGGCAGCTATAAATCCACCAATTCTGGAAGTGCCCAATTTGTCTAAAAAACATAAATTGATAAATATCAATCAAACCTTTCCATTAAAAAAAACCCTAGTTTATTGCTTTTCATTGTTTACATCAGAAACAGGCAAAGGCTTATCAAAGAAAGTTACCTAGCTGATGATGGCTTTTGATTATATCCACTTTTTCAAAAGAACCACTAAATAAAACTGAATGCAAGCAGCTGACTCACTCCCAGTGTTACATATTCTCACCAAAATGAACAAAGGCTTGCATTCTCCAAGGTGAGAGGCAGGAAAAGAAGGTGTAATATCCAAAAGAACAGCATTAACTACTTGCTTATGAGAAATTAATAAAAGAAATAAAATCAGTGTTCCCACCAGACAGAATACATTGAAAAAACAGACTAAGGACTGCAGGAAAGGCAGAAAGTCTCTAGGTACAAACACAGTGGCATCACAGCAAATGATTCACGTTAAGCAGATGGAAATAAGATGAACTGTAGCACAGGTGTGGTTTTTAGTAAAGCTTCCTGAAGTTTCTTTTTTGTGTGTTTCAGAAAAGGCAAAAGTGGAACAGACAAGAAAAAAAGACAACATAAAAGAGGAAAAGATGCAAGAAAGCAAGATAAAGGACTGATAAGTAGGACAGACTCAGCAATGTGATCTGAAAACTGCTTAGCGGTCAAATAAGCAATGTGAAAGTAATGCTCATTTCTTGAAAGAATCTGGAGGGGAACTAAAGGGAAGATGGGCAGGCAAGGGGTTTTGTTTGTTTTTATTTTGGGATTAGTTTGGTGTTTGGGGATTTTTTTAGATATATTTATATACACACACACACACAGAGCTCAAGTTTGCCTAAAGAAGTGATACTACAGATGACAGAACTTACTCCCCTGCAACATATGGAATATCTTGACCTCTCAAGTAAACTAAGCATACAAAAGTGATAAGAACAAAAGGTGCACGTAACACCAGCAGCAATATTGTTTGGCTTTTCACTACTTCTGCCAGTTACTGTACATATATTACATGACTATTATAGAAATGGCACAGCCTCAGACACTTTCCACATTTTATTTACATTTTAAGACTAACTTTAATCTCAATCACATATCCATACATTTCCTTTGTTTCACTAAAACTTAAATGCATGGTTTATTAGAACAAAGACTGTAAACAAATATTTGCCATGTCCAATACATGTAACACAGGAGCTGCTTAACAGAAATTAATCCCCCCATTTTATAAATACAGGTATCAAAACAATCCTGAACATACTTTGTGACACTACTAGTAGTCGGCACCCACACCCTTGCAAAATTAAACAAGATGAGCAACGGTATTCACTGTACCTGCTACCTTAAAACAAATTTAACTGCAGCTCTTTTACTAAGCAAGATGGATAAAGCATGCCATTTATATTTTGCCTTCTCCAGAAATTATTTTCAGTAACATATATTATTCCACAGCAATCTGACACTTTCTGTCATGCTTTCATCTTGTAAAACCTGAATTCCAATTATAGGCTATTTCAGGCTTATGCTTAAATGACAGTGCCTCAATAAGAGAAAAAAAAAATTGTGCTGCCTTTTTCTCTCATAGTGCCTGAAAACATATTGGGCATACATATATTATATATATTCTTACAAATGTCCAGGTCATGTATACCAGCTGGAATTCTTTAATGTGTGGGTGTTTGCATTGTGAGATTTAATCAAGACATTACATGAGTAGAAGGTTGTTGTTTTAAGACAGAAGTTTGAGAATCAGCTAAAATTAATTATTGTAAGTTTGTCCCTCTGGAGGTTGTGGAAGCTTCATATTTTCTTTGGACATCATTAGACGTCTTAGCTCTTGAAGTACAACTTTAATGCTATATGAATTTTGCCATTTTGCTAACACTGGTATGCTCCGTGCATCCACCTGGAAAAAGAAGAGAGAAATCTAATTTATGATGGAACACAAAATCTCTACATAAATAACTCTTCTCAACCTAATTGCTCTAAGAAACGGCCTAGGCATTGCCTGACACCTTCTCTGTGGCATAAAGTCCCTGTGTTCCTAAAATATTTTAATGAAAACCATCATATACTTACACACAGATACAGATTCTGCAATAAAATCCATGCAGGTGGACCCTTCCATCTGCAGTGCTACTTATATTAGTGAGAAGAAAAGGAGGAGGGGAGGAGGACATCAGCAAACTGTTCACTGCAAAACTGAAGCTGCTATCTAGCAAAATTTATAGTTTTCAAATTACCCCCAAAAAAGAAACAAGTCATCACCTTCACTATGCTAATATATGCACCTCGGTGTTCCTCAGTTCTTTAAAAGAACCTGCCATACAAGAGTCCAAAAAATACCTTTCTAAAGGAACATTTCCCTTACTGTTTGCTTGCAACAAGTATTGTTAGTGACTTCTTTCACACTGATACTACACGGTGCTTCTGATACATCTAGCGCCACTACAGGTACTAAGAAATGTCCTGAAACACTGAGGTAACTGATTGGTAATGCTCGGACATTTCTTAGTTCTCTGCATCCTTCTCACAGTAAGTCATCTTATGGAGCCGTGAAGATTACTGTGCATCACTTACCAACTGGAATATGAACTGAAAGGAAAGGACATGGGACTTCTCCTATGCGTTTATAAAACCTGTGGGACAATTTACACAATTATATTATAATGGGGAGGTTTCCATAGGAAAGTCAGCAATTGAAAGTCATCCAGGGAATTGTTTTGGCAGCAGGTTAAGTCCGAGCCCCTGCATGGAGGAGCTTAAGAACACAGAGGGGCCTAAAGCTGTGCAACTGCAAAGCAGGCCCTGGGGCAGGAATAGGGCTATTGCATGCTACTGGATTCCTTTGGTGGAGTTGCAGCCCACACAGCTACAAGAGTGCTAGAAAGCACTGTTTTATGATTTAGGCAGCATAAAACATCAAGAAGTTTCTTATCCCATCTTAATTAGGGCAAGCTGAAAGAAAAAAAAAACCTGGAATCAGAAATAAAAATGTTAACACAGATGTTTTAATTCTAGATTATTTGAAGTGAGACTTTTCAGAAGCTATTTTCAGAACACCAGATGAGACAACGTTTTTGTAGGAGGAAACTGAGGCCAAGGTTTAACAACATGCTGGCTTGGGCAGCAATACTATCTCAAGAAACTTCTGTTCCCTTTCTAGTTCCTTTAACAGTGCTACTGCCTATCAGCTCAGGTAAACCATGTACAGGGAAATAGCTTCTGAACTGAACTGATAGAACCTACCCAGTTTAAAACACCACCTTGCAAAGAAGTCCCTAAGCAGGATTCCTTGACCTTATTTACAGCTCAGCACTTACAAGCATTTATTTTCACACAATGTTTACTCAGAGTTGGGAACTTCTTAAAGTCAGTGGAATTGCCAACAACAGTGTATCATCAAGCTACAGAACAAATGGCAGTAAGATTACTTACTAATTAGTGCAAATATTTGATTAAAAAAAAACAGCATCAAAAGAAAAGCTCTATTATGCAGCAATATCATGCCAGTTTAAAATATGAGCTAATACAAAAAGGTTTTGAAAGCTAGCACTGGTGAAATCATCACTGTAATTCCTGTACTATTACTACCTTTTTAAAGGGAGATCTAGATTAACGTGGCAGATAGGCAAAATGGCTGGAAAGGAAGTTGCTCTGGAACTCCAGAAATGAACATCTATCCTCAGTCTGAAAATTCTGCTTACACACCATCCTCCTTCTCCTCAATTTTGCCTTTGTCAGCTCACTCAGGTCTGGATGAGATGTTTGCCTCAATTACAGCACACAGCAGCCAGACACCACTGCTGTTCAAATAATGCAGTTCTACAAAGACTGGAACATGAGAGCTGATCACTTAAGAGTAAGCTCCTCCTGGTTTTCTTTTATGCTGGGAATTTGCATCAAAAAACCAGCACAGACTGCAAACTCTGCTATGAATGTTTTCTGACTAAAGACGGCTGCAACATGACATTTTTGTTGCTTGTTTATCTCAAGTCTCTTTTCTGCAAATCACCAACTTCTTTCATAACATCTTGCAGCAGGAAAGACTTTGGCTCAGGTTCGGTTTTCTGTCTTGCAGAATTGATTTCCAAGTTAGTGCATAATAAACTCACTTTATGAAGAACAATGATAGGACATTTAAAGACATTTAAGAGCGACACAAACTATGTTCAAATCACACAAACACATTAGGTAATATTCAAATGCACACCCTGGAACACGGAGGGAGACATCTCAAGGTCAAATAAAAGTTAATAAAACTGCAAACTGCAATCTGAAGACTATTTTATTTAGACTATTTTTTGGGAGATGTACACCACTGTGGAACCTTGAACAATAGGAAGAGAAGCAATATAAAAATGCATTATTTTCTTCTAAACAGTTGAAAATAAAACAAATTATTTTACACAATAATGCAAAGTATTCAGTGTTTATAATGTTCCAAGTAACTTCAACAAATAGCAAATGTCTACAGCAAACATACTAAAAGCAGTAACTGGACAGCTTACAGAATTACAGCTGAGAGTCCCAAGTGATTTAAAAGGAAACAAGTATTTCCAGCCATAAATGGTATCTAAATGAACAGAAGTGATTGCAAGTCCTGCAAGACAGACTGCTGAGGAGCACTATCAAAATGCACATCTGATGCAAAAATCAGACAACCTCAAAAGAAAATGGGAAAACAAACAGCACATTAGAATGCAGCCTGTGTTTTATCAATATGGGATACGTAAGTCTCCAAGAGAAAACACTCTGTAGCATTAGGAATGATAATCTACAGTTTTACAACAGTGATGCCATTAGCACATAAAAGCATTTTGTCCAGCTCTACACAAGTACTTGGACTAGATTTTTTGACCTTAGTAATCTAGTTCAGTATACAAATACAGCAGGTAAATTAAAAAGAAAAATCCCACAAAAAACTAACTTCCAGATAAGAAAAGAAAGACAATTTAACAGGGTGCCTCAGAGAACTTAAGTCTTTTGAGATAAAATATTCCTGAACTAGTTCCCTCCTTTCCTGCACTACATTTATGAAACAGTGATTCCTGAAGATAAGCTGCTGGCAGAAAAGTTACTTACAAATTCCTCTCTCACAGAATAATCAAACAAAAAGTCAGTAAAATTGTACCTGCTCAGTATTGATAAATTCATTACACACATGCCCTTTTCACATGAAGTGTAAAGGGATTTTTAAGTCAAGAAAGTTGTGAATCACTGCCCACAGCACAGTTTGAGAATAGTTTCCTCAGATCCCTAGTAACTGCACTTACCCATCTTTCCCCTCCACTACACACACTCTAACTCAACAGAAATTATCACCCTCTAAAACTTCCAGTGTGGGCCCTATTTTTCCACAGATGTTAACTGGCACACAAGCCTACCTTAACAACACTGCAAATGTTCTGAGTATAATGTGCTAAAATAAAACAATTTCAGCTGCTGTTTGTCTCAGGTCTCTTTCTGGCAAGTCACAACTTCTTCCTGATATCTATAAGCAATGTGAACAAAAGCTGGCCACATGTCAAAACCCAGGGTGCCTGCAGAAGCACGGTAGTAGACGAAGTCTGCAGATGAAACCCTGCCATTAATTCAAAGAATGCAGCAAACCACTTATGATCTATTAAATGAAAGATGACCAGAAACTGGGAGAACGGCTTGGAAGAAATATGAAGGAACTATCAGGAAGCAGCACTATTAACTGCCCCAGGATGCTGAACATACCCCCACTGTTTATTTCATGGTTTCTCTAATGATCACAAAGAAAAAATAAAATAAAATGCAAGACAATGGGCACATTAAAAATTACATAATAAATGTGTTTTAAATTCATTAATTATGAAAATTCTTTTCATTAAAAATACTATTTATTCCTATTTAAATCCATTAAAAAAAGAAGTTATGCATTTGCATAGCAAATCCTTTGTAAGATACACAAGTTTCTCTTTTGGGGGAAAGATTATTAACAGTTTGATGTAAGGTTAACTTATTAAAATCAATTTTTCCTGTAGCAATGACTCAATTTGAACAGTGCTTTTAAAACGACCAGGCAGATTTCCTGTCGCAGTAGTCACCCTGTTCCTCAGCAAGCTGAGCAAGTGTAGACTATTCCAAACAAAAACTCAAACTTACTGGCTTCAGTAAACATGAGCCTTCAGGCTCTGCTAGTCTAAGGTCGTGCTTCTGAAAAGCAACACCTATCCCTTGAGGTATGTAGAGACGAAGCCATGAGAGCATACTTCTTCACTGAGTCACAATACATGTTCCTATGGTACCAGGAAGAGGTATGAAAATCATCTTCCAAACGTACTATAAGCAGGTTTTGCTTCTCACAACGTCTCAATAAACACACACCCTTAGACAACAAGCCACAGCTGTGATTAAGGGCGTGAGCCAATTTGCAGATAGAAATTATAACAGGATCTTCAGGTAGAGTAAGATTGTTAGCTACATAAAAGCATTTTCAGAATAATTTTTGATTATTCCGAAGCATTAGTGCACTAGTTTTGGATGACCAACCATAATACTACTCTACAACCTACAACAGCTCAAAAGACACCCTGAGAACCTCTTCCGCTGCTACAGTCAGTGAGACACTTGAGCTTCACAGTTCAATACTGTTAATTACAGAAATGCAAGTCCATCTTTCTTTTAAATCTTACAAATTATTTAAAATCCAAAGATGCTAAGGTGCCTTTAGGTATTACCTTAACCCAATTACTCTGCATTCGCTAAAGAGAAGTGTATACACAAATGTGATTGTGCTTCCTGCTGATTTACACCGCTGTAAATGTATACAGCACTGTAAATGCAAGGCAGTTCACACCTCCTCTCTTTGAGCAAAGGGGCACCTCGCTTGCTCACAGTTATTTAAGTAGCTGGTGAGGAACAGAGTAACAAACTTGCTTGAGCTGCTGCAACAGCTTATGTCTGAACTCATCTCACTCTAACTGCAGGATCAATGAAAGGCAACTTACTGAAAATTGATATTTAAAATGCAAGTGATTACCAGCTATATCAAAAGGTCTTAAGACCAAAGTTCAGAATCACCTTGGATTTTAATAAATCCAGTATAAAGGAAACAAGAGTATAAATACACCTGTTCATTGTAGGTGAGTTAATACATCCAGAGTGAGTCTCATCAGGAATAACCTCCATTTTCAATTAGTGGAAACATCAGACAGAGTTTGCAATATTCCTGCTACAATACGAAACTAATCCCCTTTTATAAGAGTATTATGAGGGAAATACCTACACATAGCTTAAACACTGACTCTTTTTCTGTTCAAAACTAAAACCTTCATCTTCATTTAAAAGAAACAATTGTCTCAATATTATAAATAATGCTCATCTCATTGGTAAGCCATGAAGATTTGAAGTACCAAAATTAAATTTAAATCTGTATTTATATTATACAAATTAAATACAAAAGCTCTGTCCAACATGCCAACTCCTCACCTGATTTTCACAGAAATATCTTTTTAGTATAAATTAACAACATGGTTGATCTTACCATTTCAACTTACCATTCCATTGGAATTATTTATTCCATTCATATTAATTTTAGTTACAAATCTAACTGTAGGAGGTGCTTCTGGGTATTTAGGTCCACACTCTACTTTCAGACTGTATATTCTGTTTTCATAGTTTGTCTAGAAAGCAAAAAGACAGACTAATGCATTTTACTGAAAGTTAAGTATGAAGACATTTTTTAAAACAGAGAAAAGGCAAGAGGAATAACGACAAATATGAAATAAATATAAATTTGTTAATATTGTGTACAAACTGAAGGTCTTGGATTACTGACTGATTTCCACTGTTTTGGCTATATTGATTATTTCATTATTATGCATAAATTACACTGCTTATTGACTACACCATACACAAATTTTAATACAATTCTGGTTTTAATTCACATTTTCTCTCATCCTTTCTATCCACCTGCATCCTCAAAACAACAGTGGCACAGTACAGGACTAAGATAAATCAATTAAATTTAGGAAAATTACCACCTTCCCCTATAAAGAAATACCTAACACTAAAAAAATTGGAAATGGAGAAAGACGGAGATGCCAATAACTCAACAGTTAAGATACGACCAACAAAATAAAAACATAACCTGCAAAAGAAACATATCCTGGAAGTAATTAGCACTACAGAAAATATCTCCAATTTCTGCAGCTGAGAATTACTTGGTTTACTGGAAGATTTATGAGCTTGGACAGTTAAAGCAACTGCTAGTTTGCAGATGTCATTCCAAAGTGAGCACAGAACAGATAATTCTAAGTGCAAGTATACTTTGAGAAAGCCACATTAGAATTAGATATGGTTCTATTTTTTTTAATCTTGTCAAGTAGGCCATGCCAAAGATCAGTGCTTTGCAGGTCACTGATACACATGCCTCTGTGTTCCAGAAGGAAGATGAACTTCATTTCTACACCTGCCTTTGCACTGGCACAACAGATAGAGCCAACAGGAACAAAAAAGCAGTAACATGCCTCTCAACTTGCCAGAAGTAGCATCTTTAACCTGTTCTGCATCTGTCAGCTGTCACTTTCCAAGCAGAAGTATCAACCACATAGTCAAGTTATCAAACAACAGTCTAGTCTGTGATTAATTAAAATGCAGATTGAAAATAGGACTACTGAAGCACTCTAACTGTGTACCATAATTTTTGAGCAAGCACAGAGACTGAACAGCAAGTGGGTCAGAAAGAAACAATGCAAAACAAAAGGTATTCTTTCCCATTACTGTGAGTGTAATTAGGCACTGGACAAGGTTGCCCAGGGAGGTTGTGGATGCTTCAACCCTGGCAGTGTTCAAGGCCAGATTAGATGAGGTCTTGAGTAACCTGGCCTAGTAAGAGGTGTCCCTGTCCATGGCAGGTCCCTTCCAACCCTTAACATTCTTACTCTATGATTAAAAGCTAAAGGCCATATGAAAGTCATCTTGTCCTGCTACAGCTAACATAGCTGGTACCACAGCAAGAAAACACAGTAACTAAAATTCTCATTATTCATTCAGCCAAAACAATTTGCTTCCCCAGAGAGAGATGCTGTCAGTTATAGTGAAAATAGGCTAAAATGTATAGAACTCTGCTCACAACTCTGGAAAATCCCAAGAAAAGCACTCATTCTCATTCCCTTATTCCTATCCAGTCGGCTTCTCAATTTTGCTCAATTTATCAAGTCATTGTTTTACTGCAAGCCAGGCATCCCTGGCCAACTTCCCAAAAAAACTTAAATCCCATTTTCTCAAAGTCAGAAAAATGTTTCTGTTAATCCAAAACAAATCTTGCCCTCCTCTCTTGCTGTTGGGTCACCTTTCAAATTATGCAAGGAAAAAAACTGATAAGCAATTATTTTGCCCAACTGTAGAGAAGTCATATATGAGAAGAGCTTCACATGCAATATTAGCAACTTTCTCTGTGTCTTGCCTAACTGTACCATCTACTTAACTCAGTCAAGTCCAAAAAACACTCATCTTCTACAGATCCTGAAACTAGATATGGAATTCTTCTCAAGGTGCTGTCACTGGTTTGGGAGCTGGTGGCTTCCACTTTCTACAGTCACTACATACTGAAAGTCATTCTACCTGCAAGGCTGCATGTCCTGGAAATGGCACAAGATATATTATTTGCATGCACTCTTCATCATAAAGAAAATAAAATCACAGAACTACAAATTGACCAGGACTAAAAGTGTATGCCAAGCTGGGTTGAGTACTTTTATTATTTTTTTAAAACACATGGGACCTTACATAACAGTATTATAAGTATAGTTTTATACACATCATAATCTCTTTTCAAAGATGCATAGTAGTCTACCTTAGGTTGAACAAGAAAGCAGTCACAGGCAGCTCTGGAGGGTTTCTGGAGAGCCAGAGAGACCCTGTGACAGCTAGGTTAAATTTTCAAGGTTTTTATCCCAACACATTAGACTACAAACTTCCTTCAAAATGTACTCACACACTGATCCCACAAAAGCTAATATCCAAAGCATGCAGTCATTGTATTTTAAACCTGCCCTCTCTCAACTGCACCCAAATCTTAGGAGCTCAGCAAAGTCATTCAGGTGTTCGAAGCAGCCTACTGCAAGTGGCAACGGAGTTCCAGAAGAAACTTGAATTACACTGAATCTGTCTCTGGAACTCTGCTACTTTGGGAGACATTATTTTCACTGAGGCAGAGTTCTGATTTGTCTTGGACAGTTCATTCCATGAACCCTGCAGCACCAAGGGATATACAAGATAGCTCTCATTCTAGCAGTGAAAGACGTGCTAACTTAGGGCTACTTATTTATTAAAGGTTATTTAAAAGTCTTGGTTACACATTGATCTTTTGCATCATATTGTAATTTATGAGAAAGCGTGCAGTAAGTCAGGTAAAGATGTCCCCACTCATATCTGATGTGGCTGATACACACAGGAGGCGATTACTTCTCTTGCAAGTTGTATCAGTATAAATTACATTCTACAGAACTTCAAAGGTCAGAAGGATTAGAGGTAATTAAAAGCTGCTAGTCTTTAGGTATGATTCAACTGAAATTCTAACACTGTTATACCGAAAGACTTTGATAAAACTTGTGGAAGTTGAAAACATACTGCCAGTTTACTACAAAGTTGAAATTACCAGGCACATATGACAAAATGGGGAAAGACAGTTACCTATTTATTGTACTATCAGTGTACACTTATGTTCAGTAACAGTGGAAATACAGAATTAATATACTCATAACTCCGTAAAATAGGTCTCAAATCACAACTGGCTTTTACAGACAGCTGCAGAAAAAGGGGACGCTAGCCTGAAACACTGACATGCCAGAAAGTGAGGATTATACACTATTTCTACAATTTCATACATTGAATTTTAACTAATTCCTTTATACCATAGAACACTAACATTTTTTTGCCCATTGTATTGCCTAAAAATTTAATAAAAACGTTTTATTTCATCACACTTACCCTTGGTGGCCCAATAATCATTCCTGTCCATCTGGTGAGTGTCATATCTTCATCATCTTCAAGGCCCCAGCTTACTGTACCATCACCTACTCCCTTCTGCCCTTCTTCAAGTTCTTCCAACAAGCGAAAATTACGAGGTACTTTAACTAGAGAAAACGGAATAATGTAATTAATACTGCTCACATTAAGGACAAGGCAAAAAACTTCATTGCTTTTATATATTACACACTGCTGAAGATATTTTCCACGTCAAACGAATATTGCCTGCACAAATTTATTTAGCACTCTAATTGCTTTGAAGCAATTAACTGCTTCACTAGAAGTTAATTACTCCCAAGTAATACCAATACAAGCCATAAAAAAGAAAACAGGAGAGCTCTCTTTAGTCTATGATGGCTTAGTTAACATTCTCTTTCCCAAGCACAATACTGTATAGATCCAGTACTTTTCAAAATCGACTGCCTGTCAAGTTCTAATCAACCAGAATCCACATAAAATCAATATGGCAAATTTACTCCAAAACATAACTAAAGAATGTAACACTTAACACAGATTATCCTAATAAATGTCAACTGTAAGATTGAAATATTTTCACTTGATTTCACTTGTTTTAAACAAAAAAAACAACGAAGGACTAATATATGAAAACAAACTAAAAATCAAGTCTTTTTAATCTAATCTGTAATTAATACTGCCACACTTGCCCGAGGAGAAAAAAATATGCACAGAAGCATTGATTGAAATGTTAAAGAGAGATAAAGACATATTCACAACAGAATACTGTTTAACTGCCTTTAGAGAGCACCAACTAATAGTCGTTAACCAAACTATAATTACAGGCTTTTTATTATTATTAATGAAAAAAGGCAGATATTGATAGATATTAAACAACTGGATGCTCAATTGCTTTATAGCATCAAAGCTACAATGGTACTTCAGCACTGAGGGAACAAAGGTAATTAACACTTGTGCATGCAATCATGGAATGCTTTTATTTTCAAATAAAATATGCACAATAATATAGTAACAATATTATAATACCATAAAACTTCCACTTACTTATAGTTACTTATTTTTTCTTATAACTTCTTATAACTACAGTATTACCCACTATTTTCACTAGAGATACTTTCCCATACTGTAAGAATCCAGGTGTTCCATAAAACTAGAAATTAAGACTGAACACACACGATGTTATTAGCAAATTTGAAAAATATGAAGGTCAAAGAAAACTGTTTTGTATATCAGTTATTCAGGATTGCACATCACTGTGATTTCAAGTTTTACATTACCCTAGTCTGTACTCCAGGCAGTCTCTATGCAAGAAACAAAAAGTTTGAATAAACTATATTATTATTTAGTCAGTTAATAGATGCAGATATATGGAACAGTATAGACACACATACCTTTTAGCAACTCTTCAAATAGTTTATCTTGCAGAACTATAACTTCTCTTAACAGCATTTAAAACTTTTTCTTTTTTTTTAGTAACACAGACTAGGGAGAGGCTTCTAAAAATTGCAGAAACTGTTGTGTCCAAGTTCTCCAAATTCCCAGGGAAAAGCATTATGGGTATAGTCCCAGGACGGTGGAAGGAAATTAAGTCATTCATGTATGGCCTCACCTTCTGCCCTGTCTTGGTATTGCCACTCATCTGAGCCTGTAATGAGCTACTTCAGATTGCTAACTGAGCAGAAAATTACACATTTTGACCAGTCTTTTTCCCACAGCTTAACAAATCAGCTCAGCCTGCACATGTACTAAAAGCACCAGCAGAGTACATCAAGAAGCAGATCACATCTCAATTTTTTGACATAGAGCCTTTTAAAAACCGCCACTGAAATGCATTTTCCCATTCCTCTGGTCCCATTCTGATTTGTGATAAACATTAAGTCTGTACATTTACGTATTTAATTCTGACTTGAGATGAGAACCGACAATCACACTTCAACCACAAAGTTTTTACTCCACATTCATGCATGTTCTAGAGTTGAGTCTGCCAAACCAGAACGATAAACTTTTCTACTTTGCATCACATGACTGAATAGATTGTGATTGGTATGTGTACTCTCAAATAAAAAAAAAAATAAACCAAAAACAACCTCCAGCCACAAACCTCATGTACTTTAGCATTCACATATTATTTTAGGTTTCCCCAGTAGCTTAAATCCACCATTTCTCAGAACCCCTGCTCTGACTGCAGAACTTCTGAGTCACAGCTTAGCTCTTCAAAAAGAACGTAAAAGATGGTACCAAACAGGATTTACATTTATTTCTCATTACGTGCTATCACCTTTCAACACAGCTGAGATCACCCAACTGCTCACTGTCCTGATGTTCCATGCCTTCTCCCAGAACTCTGTTGCTCTTGCACTAACCAGGCTCCTCTATTAGCCTAATTGTCACACTAATTTAGCAAAAAAGCTGTTTTTCCTTCAGGCAAAAATCAAATCCAACCAGTTAATCAACTGAATTGACTCAGGAAAAAGAACAACAAATGCCAGAGCTGACTGCTGTGTCTCTCAGTGCCTTCCTTTGCAAAACCATGGGTGTGAGGATAAAGGAGCTTTTTGTGACAAAAAGCCACTGCACTGACTCAGCTGTATCATAAAATTGTACCCAACACATTGAACTGTGGGAGATGACACTTACTAGAAAATGATAACCCCTTATGATGAACTGACCTGTGTTCATCACATTTTTTCCACCATATTATCTGTGCTCATTGGTTCCCATAACTGCCCTAGGGGAGCAGTGAAGGACTTGGGAAACATCTCCAGAAAATAATTTAGATCCGCTCTGAAAAGAGACAAAAACATCTAAGAGCAAGTGCCAGGCTCCCCACACTAACATTCTTATCACTGCTAGAACTAAGTAGCAAAACACTGTTCTGAAGTAAAAAATAAGAGTAAACACACATCTGTTAAAAAAAAAAGTACACAATAACCCCAACAAAAAAGCCAACACACACGCACACAAAACCCTGTCAAGAACAACAAAACTTTCCTCCCCAAAACTCATTAAACTGCTTCTATGTCCCTGCCATATATGATTCATGTTTTATCATCAATACTTCTAACGTCAATTAAGTAATTACTAAATATTTTAATAGAAAATTATTATTGCTAAATTTCTGAAAGTGACACAAAATACCTTAAAAATTAACACAATGGATTTTAAAAACAAACAAAAAACCAAATAAACAAACAACCCAACAAAAAACAACCCCTTACTATAATTTATAATTACAGACTTAGAAACTTCCAGAAAAACTAACTGGAATTAAATACTGTCTTGAGCATTCACTCCTGCCCTTGTGCTCACTATTGCATTCTACATGCTTGCTTTGATCGTGCTATAACCCTAACACAAAACAAATTTACCTAGCTTGAAGAAAAGAACACATGTACAAGATTATGCCAGCTTCCCAGTAAAAACAAGAACTTCTGTCTAGAAGTCCAGTCAAGGATTCTCCAGAAATTGTTTGTTCCTAGTTTAAACAGAAAGTAAAAAAATTCTTCTCGCTATTTCAAAAGGCACACTCTAAACAGCATGTTAATACTGCATATATAACTTGCAGTTTTATCTCTAACCCAGACAGTGCAATTCATCAAGTATTTGCTAAAAACTGAAATATCCCTGACTGAATTTGAGTAAGAATCATTATTTTATTTACAGAATTTGGACAATGAAACAATATCTTTCTGTTCTAAAGTGCAGCTCGTTAGCAGTATGAAATTATAGAAACCAGCACCATTCTTCAGCTGACAACCAGACCTCAGGTGCTCTCCCCAAAGCCACTTGCTGATGTGACCACTAAGCAGCTTCAGACAGGCACAGGCAGGTTGGTTTTACTCTGTAACAGGCACTCCTCAGCTAAAACCTCGAACTTCCAAGTGAAGGGGATTAAAGCTGTCGATTTTAACACTGGCAGAGCTACAGGCATGGTTAATTCCCCTCATCAGGCTGTGATTTACAGCTCAATACAACACTGCATCCAGCACAGCTCTTTGCAATGAGGGACTAAGGCTCTGCATGTGCAAACATAGATGAGTTCATCCAGATTAAGACGACAAAGAGCAAAAGCAACACTCCCCACCTAAACTCTCTTCACTTTATCTGCAAAGATCGCCTCACTATAGATTTTACTGACAACCCTGCCCAAAAACTGTCACAGGAACTGCCAAACAACTTCTACCAAATTCTAAAAAACAGATGAACTAAATATATTTAACTTAAATAAACAAACAAAACATCATTCATGCCTACATATGGCAATAGTTTTTAATTTAAAAATTTAATCATAAAACTGGACTACAGAAATCCATGAAATTATTGGTGAATTTAATACCCTGGAACTAGAAGAGAATGAAAGAAGACTCAGTAAATAAAGCTCACAATTTAAGTATGAAGGTCTACTTTCATATATATGGAGCTACTTCAGACATTACATTCTAAATCACTAAGTTAATAGAAATAAAGAACACACTACCACAAAGGACGAGTCAGGAAAAAAATTATAGCTATGCTTTTATCCAGAATCTATATAACCTGAGGAAAAAAAAAAATAAGGAAAGAATATAAAAAGGAATCTTCAGTGTCCATTAACAGCACCAACAACTTTCACTAGAGTAACAAATGAGAATTGCCTGGATGGACCAGTTCTTCCTAGCCAGAGTTCCACAGTTGGTAATGTCAAATCACTCAGTGATACAGTGCTTTAATCAGCAGCATTAAGACAGAACACACAATCACACTTACGTGCACTTAGGTCAGATTTGACAGAGCTCACTGGATACATTAGATCGCATTTTTAAACAATTCACAGACACACTCCTGCAATTAGAGTTGGCACTCCAAGCTCCTCACACATCAAATGATTCTTTGCTGTATAACAGGCAAGAGTGGGATAACCTACACTCTGCTCTTGTCCCTGCAGGTTACATAAGCGAGCTATAACCCAAATTTTTAACAGACTGGCTCAGAGCCTAAATTGTATAGTTTTCTGTTGGACCCAAAACTATATTTTTTAGAATAATTGTGCATAACGATATCCATATCAACATTCGGTTTCTCTGAAGTTCTTGACTTCAATCACTCCTGAAATTCACATTAGGATCGGGACCATTTTACCACAGTTAAATCA